GAGAAGCAATACTCTGTAAAAGGTGCACAATTTTAAATTGGCTGTATTATTGAAGGAAAATTTAATTTTCCTTTTGTTTTTAACAAATGAACCGTGGTTTAAGCAACTTTTCCAATTAATGTCTTGAAGCTTCGTAATTCAGAAAGGTGTGCTTGAACTCTGAAAGAAAGCACAATGGAAATATTAACACATTCATGTGTTGATGGAAAATATAGCCCTCACAAATAGTTTTTGATCATCTTGAACAAAATCTAAGAGCAGAAAATGCCTCTATTTGACTGTATTTTATGTTTTATCAGACACTAAGCTTCACAAATCAAGAGTATTAGGTGTCCATCCTGAGAATTAGTTCAAATTTGCTGATCGTATCTCTCATTTGGAGCATTATAGTTTTAACAACACCCTATTTAAAGCATTAACAGGTGTATTGGCTAAAATTTTATTGGCCAAACGTGTGAATATAATTAGTAAAATATATCCAAACTTTTTTTTTGTTTTATGGTTCTTTCATGTTGGCACAAAGCACCTAGCTCAAAACCAACAGAGTTTATCCTATTTAGCAGTTTTTTTGTCATAAATTACACCATCAGTTGATAAACAAATCAGTTCATGGACATATGACAGCAGGATGCCATGTCTTATGTCTGGTGTCTGCTGTAGTGCCTGTTCATCTAATGTCCAATGAAAATTTGATCTGCTTGAGTAGCAAGCTTTCTTTCTTGTTAGTTTGACTTATCTCTTTAAACAAGGGTTTAAGTGAATAGCACCAAATAGAAAAAATAAAGGGAGCTGGTTCTGAACCATTGGGTTTTCAATAAGCATTTTACTGTATCGCTTTAGTCGTTTACTATCGTGCCTGCAGAGTACAACTGCAACAGTTAAAAAGCTGCTGTTTCTCTTAAACCTGCAAAGAGTAAAAAAACGAACAAGCAATAATTTCACAAGGTTTGTTAGTATATATATATTCACATAAAAATACAGCACAGATTCAAAAAGTAGGTTGTGCATATAGATCGGTTTTAGTATAACTACAGGCCAGGGGTTGGAAATCCTGGTCCACGAGGGTTTTCACAAATTGCACTTCACAGAAAAGGCATTATTAAAACTTTTGAGACTTGTTGATGGCTGCTGACTCTGGAAACCACAGCCTTTGACACCGTGGATCACACTGTACTTAACAATCGATTGAGAGACATATTTAACAATGTTTTGAAGTGTTCACATAGCTGTTGTCTGCTGGTCATGTACCTCGAAAGCCTTGTAACCTTTCAGACTCTGTTTCAAATATTACAAAAGTTTGTGTTTTAGGAAGTTACAAAAGTCTGGATATTGAAAGCGTGGATAATCCTTTATTTTTTAAGACTCCAGAGAATACAGTTGAATGCCTTTCAACAGATTTAACAGCAAATTGGAAATGGACTCTGATGTTACAGCACTTTTTAGTTTGCACTTAGTTAGCACTGGTGGCTCTGCCAAATACACCCATGACAGTTTACAAAAAATATATATATCTACATGCAGCATGGCCCTGTGATGGACTTACGACCTGTCCAGGGTGTATCCCGCCCCTCGCACTGTGACTGCTGGATATGGGCACCAGTGACCCACGCGACCCTGAAAAGGAAGAAGTGTGTACAGAAAATGGATGGATGGATGGATGGATACATGCAGCACAACACATATAAATGTTGTTTGTAGCCTTTTGGTTGCTATACTGTGGTGTAACAACCATTATTACCAAATTGTACAGAATTATTACAATCACATATATCCAAGTCTCATGCTTCCTCTCAAATGTTAATTATGAAAGTTGTTCAAAAGGGTCTAGTTTCTTCATAGAAAAATCTTGTGAAGAATAAGATCACTATGACCAACTGTTTACTAATGTAGCCAAACACATACGCTTGTTTTTGTCGTCACTGAATGGGCTCTACAAATAAACTGTTTTACCTTCAGTGGGATGCAGTGTGTATAAGAGTCAAAGGCCAAAGGCAAATGAAGTCTGCTCTTTTTGCACAAACGCACCAGCATGAGTTCTCTTTGGTCTTTTCTTGGGTCAGAACAAATCGTCCTGCCGAGCTCAGCCCAAACTCAAGCTCTGTTTAGTTTCTCCAGTTACAAACTCATAACTGTTACTTTTTCTTAAACCAACTCTGTGTGGGGGCTTCTGCATGCTTTCTACCAGAGTTTAACTGCGCCTCTTGGGGCTGGGGAAAAAAAAAATCCTCTCTTCTCATGCCCCCCTCTGACAAGTTCCTGATGGTGCTCCATGCAGCACACAACAGCTCCCCTCTCTACTGAAACATGTCTCCCATTTCATCCTAACTGGTTCCAGCAGCACTCGTCATTCGGTTCATAATGATTTAAATGAGCTCAGGATCTTGTCTTCTCAATTAAACTGGATTTCTAATAAAGAGGCAGAATTGGAAAGAGAAGGAGAGAAAGTCCATCTGCCAGTTCTTGTTGCCATACTTTGTTTTTCTTGAAACGGCAGCTCATAATGAATTGTCTGCAGACCTCTGGCAATCTTGAATAAAAGTACCTCACTGTGATACTATAGTCTCGTTTACTAGTATTACTTGAGTAAAGTCTTGGAAGTATTTGACTGTACTTGTACTGTAAGTATAATTTAAAATATATATAATGTACTTATTAAAATTAATTAGCTACACTTTAATTTAGGTATTAAAAGTATTGAGTTAAAGTGAGTGGTTAGGATTTTCAAAATGACATTTATTGGGACGTGAACATATAAGGAGTAAAAACAAAAAATTGACTGAAAAATAATTAGTTCAGTAAAGTATAATCAACATTTCTAAAGAAAGGTAATGACATGCTTCTACATTTATTACATGTCTGCCCTCAGGTCACATTATTTTGGATTTATGGTGAGGAATGTTGGATAAAAGCTGCCTTTTTTGTCTTTAAGTTTACTTTTCTCTTTCATGCTTGTTCCACATCATCAATTGGTAAACACAAGTCAATCCTTAGGTTATTTAACAAATGAGAGCATGAGTTTAGAGAGATGGTTTGATCATTCAATCAGATTCAAAGTTGTCATCAATGAAATTTGTTATTGACATTTTCCTGTGGAGCTACAATAATGAGGAATTTAGACCAAAGCATTTCAGTTCCACTTAATTTAAACCACAGCTGAGTGATTTAAATATGAAAAGGAAGGATTTGAAAGCATGATATGTCCCCTTTAAGAGGATACAACTCAATCAAAAAAAATGCTTGTCCATAATAACATTTGTTAATGTTACAGCCCGGCTCAGCCAGGAAAAGTGGAGGTAACATTAGAACTAGGCAGTGGTGGGCAGCACTAATCCTAAATTTAGCTCCGCAATTTCTAAAGCGCTTATGAAAATATTTAGGTCCGCAACTTCAAAAGCACCCATGCCATAGAAAAACTAGCGGAAGCTAATTTTAAAGTGCAACTTCAATTTGACACTTACTAGCTAGCAACAATTCAAGTCCAATACATGCACAACACTGCCAGCTAGCGGTGTATGAACCTGTTTACAACTTGATTCTACTACCGCCGATTGCTGGGGATATGGTTTCATGAAACAGACCTTTGGCTCCTGGTGTAAAAAATAAAAAGTTGTTGAGGATTACTAGTTTGTCTTTTTCTTTTGTTTGTTGTAGATTTTTCATTAAAGAAGCATCAATAAAGTAATTTAAAACTGTTTATTGGAAAATTGAAGCGATGCATTCTGGGTACATGATGGATTTGATTTGTGACAAACGAAAGCAAGGAGAACAGGAAACTATCTTCCCTTCAAAATAAGAGCTTGGATTTTAAAGTTTTACATGTAGTTGCTCCAGTTGACCACTAGATGTCAGTCTTCATCAGCATAACATCTTTAAATCATTTCTGCGTCTCTTACCCCGTTGGCCGATTGCTTCGACCAATTACGTCAAGTATTGAGCTCCAGCGTTTAAACTTTATTTAAAAAAAGAGCTCAGATTGTAAAGTAAAATAAATCAATACATACAAAATTTTAGTATGGATTACAAACGTTAGCTGTTTTTGACATTGCCTTCCTGCTATGTAAGTAGACACAAAGCATTGTGGGAAATCAGAACTGTGACCCAAAGCAACAGTCAGCAAGGATGCATACCTTCCCAATAAGTGTGTTTATCTGGGAGGGGTGCTGTTGGACAGATCACGTGTGTTGTGATTCATTGACAGCGATACCTTCTGCTGTTCAAGATGATGATGATTGGTAGATAATTAGTTATTAGCGGTACTGAATTTTAATTTTTGAAAGTGCAAATCCACATATGAATTATAAAAATTTGTAAGGCCGCTAAAGCGCAAACAAACTATTTAGGTCAGCAATTAGCGGATTTGCGCTTTAGCGGGCTGGTGCCCACCACTGAAACTAGGTATAAGGGCTAGGGTCAGGGGGGCTTTGAGTTTGACACGTGATGTAGAGAGATGTCCACTATGAGGAACCTAGAGAACCTAGCCAATCACAGACGTGTTTTGGCACAGCTGGGCCAGCAAATCATAAACCTGCAGTATTAAAATCTTATGCATAAGGTTTACTGTTGCATACAGCATTGGGATTTGTGTATCTTTTACTGTCTACTTATTACAAAGTAAGGTCCCAGAAACATATCTTTCTTAGAACTGGTCCTGACAACCCCCCACAAAATTCCTCAGAGAACAGAGAATGGACTACACAATCAAACTTGTCAGCAACTCTGGAATGGCACAGATCCGGTCTGCCCAAAATCCTGGATAAAAAGCCAGGTTGCTTCTTTTGTTAGTCTGAGCTTCAGCCGTCTTCCAGAGCCTTCTTTTACTGACCTCCTCTTTTTCTCTCTCTCTCTCGCTCTCTCTTTCTGTGTGTGTGTGTGTGTGTGTGTGTGTGTGTGTGTGTGTGTGTGTGTGT